ACTGTGTGTTATAGTATTTGAAGATTTAGTTTTCTTACGCAGTCTCTTCTCTTCATTACAGTTTTTGGTTAAATCAGTAGTCCGTGATCACCGTATTATTACATTATAGTGGCTGTTGAGCCACATTGTGTACTATGATTCCCTTTTCTTTACTAATAACCAAATTCTTTGAATTTGCTTTGTTTCCCATGTGGCTGTCACTAATACCTAGTAACAGGTCATAACCTGTTAGCTATTTCTCTAAATACTTATGGACACTTCCAAATGGAGGAGTTCCATTTTCCGTTCCTGGAGATTTCACTTTAGCAATCCCCCATCCTCCTGTTCCAATCTGGTAGCTCTTCAGGTCTGGTATACAGTTGTCACCTTGATACTTCACTATTTTGTGTTGGATTTTCTGTCCCTGGGATATCACATTTTTGGGTCTCTTGAGTTACTCGTTTTATCGAATCTCGTGCTCTACAATGCATAGGAGGAAACACTTTTGAGTCTTTTCATACCTGAAAAAATTTTTTATTATACTGTAGATTTGGGGGTGAATTGGCTTAGCATGGGATTCTAGGCAGAAAATTTCCCTTGTGATTTTGAAGGTCTGGTCTACTGTCTTCTAGAATGCTATGAAGTCCTCTGTCATTTTGATTTGTGTTCCTTTATTGTGACCCAGTTTTCTTTATGAATGTTTTTGAGAATTCCTCTTTCATGTTTTTGTATTTCATGATAGTCCTCTGAATTGCCCAAACATAGTGGCTTAGAACAAGAAACATTTTGTTTGTCAGTGATTGCTCAGGTGGGTGTTGAGAGACAATTCTTGGGTCTCAGTTACTGCTTGTCTTGCACGCAGAGGCACTGACAGCTTTTGTTCTTGATTGTCTTTTCCAGGATGTTTATATAGCAGACAGCCTTGGAAGGTAGATATGATGGCTCTCTCCCTAGCAGAGAGCAGGTTTATTGACTATCTGGCACAGGTAAAAATAGTGTCTCTGCCCTGCCCTTGGGTCAGAGACTGAACAGGTTCACCTGCCGCCCGTTATAAAAGATGAGGTTCCCTAAATTCAGGGTTCCTCAGTTGTGACGCAAACCTGGGCCACTCCTTGACCTCCCCTGGGACAGAGGGGCCAGCGGGAACTGATGGACAGATGAAGCTCATGCTTCACGCTGTGCTGTCAGTCAAAGAGTCCTTTGTGTCTGACCTAGGAGTCTTAACGTCTTCTGTCAGAGTCCACAGAACTGGCCAACTAACCTGTCAGCTTGCAAGGGTAAAATCTCAGAGCCTTTACACTTCTTGACACTGGGTGAGTCTTCTGTTGGTCTTGCTAAGATCGTGTTGCTGTTGTCATTTGGTGGTTCTGCTGAACACCTGGGTGCTTTTAAGGTGGCCTTACTCCCATGTCTGGCCGTTGATGCTGGGCCTCCTTTCCATGCGGTCTCTCATCTCAGAAGAATACCCTTAGCTTCTTTACATAGGTGGCAGCATTCCAAGTGTGAGAGTAGAGGCTGTAAAGTCTTCTGACACCTAGAATTACATGGTGTCACTTGTGCTACATTTTGTTGGTCACAATGAGTCTTGAAGCCAGTTTAAATTAAAGGAATGGGGACATAAATGCCATTTTTTGATGGGAAGAGTGGCAAAGTTGCCCCACAGAGGAGCGTGTCAGACTAGATGGGAAGAATTATTGTGGCCATCTTTGCGCATTGCCTGAGTCCTTCCCCGCCCCCACCGTTCACTGTGCTATGTACCTGGTGAGCCCTTCCATTCTAGAGATGTATTTTTCAGTTTGGGAACATTTAAAAATACTGTATCTTTGACAATTTTCTCTTATTTTCAGGTTTCTCTTTCTTGAACTCCTGTTATTTAGATACTGGATCTTGTTGGATTCTCTGAATTTTATTTCATTCTCTGTTGTTTATCTCTTAGTTCTTTCTGGGAAATTTCCTTAATTTCGCCATTCATTTTATTGAATTTTTTAAAAAAGATTTTATTTATTTATTTGACACAGAAAAAGAGAGAGAGCACAAGCAGGGGGAGTGGCAGGCAGAGGGAGAGGAAGAAGCAGACTCCCCGCCGAGCAGGGAGCCTGTCGTGGGGCTTGGTCCCAGGACCCTGAAGTCATGACCTGAGCTGAAGTCAAACACTTAACCCACTGAGCCCCCAGGTGCCCCTCTATTGAATTTTTAAATAGCAGCTACCATGTTTTCATTTCTGCAGGTTCAGTCCTGTCCCCCGTTCATTTGTTTTTCTTTTCTTTTCTTCTCTTTTCGTTTCCTTTCCTTCTTTTTCCTTTCTTTCTTTCTTTCTTTCTTTCTTTCTTTCTTTCTTTCTTTCTTTCTTTCTTTTCTTTCTTTCTTTCTTTCTCTCTTTCTCTCTTTCTCTCTTTCTCTCTCTCTCTCTCTTTCTTTCTCTCTCTCTCTTTCTTTCTTTCTTTTTCGTCTTTGGAAAAAAAAATTTTTTTAAAGTACTTTCCATGCCCAGCATGGAGCACAAGGTGGGGCTTGAACTCATGACCCTGAGATCAAGGCCTGAGCTAAGATCAAGAGTCAGATGCTTAACCGACTAAGCCACCCAGGAACCCCACCTCTGTTCCTTTCTTACAGCTTCCTGTTTTCCTCTCATGGATGCAGTATCTTCTTTTATCTTTTTATCTTTTACCTTCTTTATGTTTTATCTTTATATTAATGATTTAAAAACATTTTTCATCTGGTCCCTTTATTGTCTATTTCTTATATATACCTTTTTTCTCTCCTTTTAAAAAAATTTTTTTTTTTCATCTTGGAGCCTTTCTTTAGTTTTGTAATGATTCTAGGTTTTTATTCATATTTAAGAGTGAGGACACATACACTCACACTCACACTTACTCACTATATATCCAGGTGGGGCTTGCTGACTAAGAGTGCCAGCAATCAGCAGGTATTAATGGAAGTTTTCCAGATAACGCTTATCTGTAGGTCTGTCCTCCTGGGTGGTTCACATTCTACAGAGAAGAATGTAATCTCTGTTCTGGGAGCAGGGTGGGAGGAAGGGGACTGGTGGCCTCGCTGTTAGTGTGATTTTCACATGGCTTCTCGTCATACTCTAGCATTTCACCCTCATTTTCCTTTGGGGCATTATGGACCTGAGTCCTTAGCCTCTTTGGTTCATGGAGGAGGATTAGTTGTTAGGGTGTGCAGGGTGAGGAGGGCTGTGTGTGTCTTACTGCCCTTTCTATGGACTTCACACAGGTCACTTGTTGGTAGCCCAGAGCTTCCATCTCATCATCTGTGGTAGGTCTAGGTTCTGCCTGTTGCTCTCTGGGTTATCCTCCTCAATGGCTTTCTGTTTCCCAAACTTTTATTGCTGTCTCTTTTCTGCAGTTGTCTCCTTTTTGGTCCTGTATTTCCTTGGGATTTTTTTCTACCATTTTAATAAGGGTTTCAAGAGGGAGCATAGGGATAGATAAATGCCCATGGCCAACCAGGAGCCTCTCTCTCCCTTCTTATAGTTTCTTGGTACAGATCCTATGCTGGTTCTTGTTCTGATTATTATTGTTTTCATTGATGTGGTGAGTTCTTCATAGGCCAATTATTTGTGGTTTTGTGTTGATGAGAGGGAATACTCTTGAGTGTTTTCAGCCTTTGCTTCCTCCCTAGGCAATGAAGATTGGCTGCTAGCTGGTCCTTTTCAACATGTGCTTTGCTCACAGGGTTCTTTAAAGATAGCATGTCCGAGTTTTTCTTTCCCTCTTTCCCCCGTAGCTTTCTGTGGTGCCCGTCCAGATCCAGAGTAGTTCTTTTTTTGCCCTCCATGGACAGATTTTATTTTAACTTTTTCACTGAACATTTTCAAACACAATATGAGAAAACAGTATGATTAAACCCCACCTACCCATCATTCAGCTTACATCAATAATCAAATTTGCTATTTTTGTCTCATTTCTCCCCTCCATGTTTGGGGAGATGGGTATGGTGGAGTATTTTAGGTAAATCCTCCCCCCTCTTTTTTCAAGTAGGCTCCACACCCAGCATGGAGCCCAACACAGGGCTCGATCTCACAACCCTGAGATCATGACCTAAGCTGAAATCGAGTCGGATGCTCAGCCAGCTGAGCCGTCCGTTTGCCCCAGTGATGGAGTATTTTAAGGTAACCATTATTTTTATTCAGGAACACATTTTTTTTAATTAACATATAATGTGTTATTTGTTTCAGGGGTACAGGTCTGTGATTCATCAGTCTTACACAATTCACAGCGCTCACCATAGCACATACCCTCCCCAGTGTCCATCACCCAGCCACCCCATCCCTTCTACCCCCCTCCACTCCAGCAACCCTCAGGATCCAGGGTAATTCTTGACACCAGCCCACATGCTCTGTTTTCACTATATAAGCAAAAGATTCTTGATTTTGCCTTTTGGGGGTATTCCAGCTCTTCGGTAGAACAGCTCTTTGGATGATTCCTTTTGGCTTCTTCATCTCACTTGATCTTCCTTGTCTGTGGCAGCTTTTCTCATATATTGGGATTCAGAGTTGTAGATGATTGCTCGTGTCCTCAGAGCTGGAGTTTGAGTTTTTCTTTTCCTTGGTTCTAGTGATTTCTGAGAAGAGGGCAGAAAGTGTTTCTTCTGCTGTCTCTTATTGGAAGTGTACTTATTAATTTTATATCAACTTTTATTAGTTTCTGTCTCAAAAAAATGAACCTTTTAAAAAAAGATTTTGTTAATTTATTTGAGAGAGAGAGAGAGACAGAGCATGAGTGGGATGGGGGGCAGAGGGAGAGGGAGAAGCAGACTCCTGCTGAGCAGGGAGCCCGACATGGGGCTTGCTCCCAGGACCCCGAGATCATGAACTGAAGGCAGATGCTTAACTGACTGAGCCCCCAGGTGCCCCTCAAAAAATGAACTTTTCCTAACCTCCTCCAAGTCTGAGGCTTTTTTTTTTTTCCATATGTAGTCAATATACCTGAAATTAGGACTACATACATGGTACCGAAGCATTTTTCTTGCTTAATTTTTGTTTTATGTTCTTCTAGGGAAGATCCACCAACACATTCTCAACCAGACAGTGATGATGAGGCAGAAGAAATACAGGTTGGTTCAGAAAAAATAATCCATTCTATAGACTATTGTAATTTAAATGATCCCTGAAATGGTTCTGATATTTACGTCTTAGCATACATTTGGTAAAGTGAGAAATTACACGGAAACCTCACTTTGACATGTAGTTTGTGTTCAGAAAGAGATGTCTTTCTCTTTTATGTATAATTTTTAGATAGAGCATTGCTTTTTGGAAGCCCAGTACACTATCCACATTTAATATTTTGTTTCTGTCCTCTTCGTGCAGTGGTCGGATGATGAGAACACGGCTACGCTTACGGTAAGAGCAGAGCCATGCCAGTGTGGGGACAGCCTCACGCTGCTACGTAAGGTGCTTCAGGGTTTCAGTACACATCTCTCTCAATTCCCTTTTACTCACTGTTTCAAATGTGTGTTTCTCTGTTGGCTTTGATCTATTATTTTGAAAAATAACTTGAATCATTGTTTATAGGCAAACATGGCCTGCCCTTCTTTCCCTTTGATTTTAAAGGAAATATTTTAAGTGCATAGTTGGTGCTTTGACTTGTTTCTCTTGAGCTCTGAAAAAAGTAATCAAGTCTAACATTGAACTTTGAGGTTCCCAGATACCTGGAACCTAAAAGTGAAATATGTAGTCACTTATTCAACTATATTTAAATGGCATGAAAATTACAGTTTCTTTCAAGTGAGAGTAGAGAAGTGTGTGGCTTTAACCAATATCTTATATAAAAATGTAGAAGTTGATTGAGTGTATTACAGTCTTTCAGGATAAGAATGCTATTGTCTAAATCAACTTGAAATATATTTTTAATAAAAATATTTTTAAAGGAATGGTGCAGTAAAACGTATTTCTAAAAATACAGTAGATAAGAAGAAATTTCTTATACCTTGAGATAAAAGAGAAAGGTTTTTATACAATTCCCTGCAAATATACACAAGGCACAAGGGAAACTAGTTTTAGGGAAGGTTATATTCTGATACAATTCTAAAGAAGATACTTCTCTTTATTTTAATGGAAGAGACCTGATATAAGAAAAGTAAGTGGAAATGCCTAAACCAATATATTTCCTGTATAAAAAGCATGCCAACATATACAGAAAGGGCAAGTTTCCATGGTTCATTTTACTCTGGATATCGTGCAAGTCAGTCACTCTTTGTTTCTGAAAATCCTGTTCAGTTAAACATGCATCTTAGTTATCTCTTATATTCAGGGCACTATAGTGGATTCTGAACAAAGATGAATTTGGTTTGATTCCTGCCATTAGGGAGTTTATAAACGAGGGAAAGATGTCTCAGTTTGGGAGTAGATGACAAAGTGCTATCAGAACAGAGAACAGTTAGAACTGAGGTCATCTAGAAAGGGGTAAAGGGAGACATGATATTTGACCTGGACCCTAAAAGTGGTGAGGATTATCAGTGCCAACTCATGCTTTCTAATAGATGACTAGATAGGGAAATTAATAATTTATGTGTGTGTATCTACCATGCTCCATTCACTAAGGACTGGAAGCAGTGATACGGTGACATCATGGTAGCAGTGAGCATACCCAGTGCCCTGATCTTGGTTTCTAGATACCTTCTCAACTAAAAGGAATTGAAGCTCCTTGGAGAAAGTCAAGGCTGGGGGTAGGAAAGTGAAGATGAACTTGCGACAGCTTGTGTCAGAAAGTAAGAATGAGACAGACATGACAGAAAGGACACAGAGGCCAGCTCAAATGGGTTCCCACTGGCCAAATAGCTGAGTGTCAAAACAGGGATATTAGTGGAGTATAGCCATTTGCTAAGATCAGTGGTCTGTGATCCCATACTGACAAATAAATGGCTGTATTCAATAAATGGGAGCAGAAAGGAAAGCCCTTTATAGTAGAAAAGGCACTAGCTCACAAATGTATAAGGAATTATAGAATTGGAAATCACCATTTGGCAACCATCACAGTAATAATTGATGGAATAGATGTTAAAACTCGTGGGTGAGTATTTGATGAGAAAGAAGATACTTGAATATTCTCAAGATATTTCCACCAGAATTACTTATTAATTATAAAGACGAAAATAGTTTACAGTGGAAAGACCTGGAAGCCAAGTGATCGAAAACCTTGCCAGTGATGGGACAGACCTGCATTGTGTACCTCCTGATACCTCCTGATGATGCGCTAAGAAGGACACATCTCCTGCCAAACATGCATAACCTAAATCTAATGATGAGGAAACCTCCAGCAAATGCAATTTTTTGGAAATTATATAGCATAACTGCCAGTACTCTTCAAAAATGTCAAGGTCACGAAAGATAAAGGACAACAGAAAGAAGAACTGTTACAGATTAAAGATTGCGCAGACATGACGGCTAAATGTAGTGGTGCGGTTCTAGACTGGATCCTCAGTCAAAAAGAAATGTTTTTCTTCTGCTATAAAAGACATTGGGAAAATGGGTACATTTTGAATAAGATCTGTAAATGAGATAATGGTATTCTATCAGTGTTAGCTCCCTGACTTTGATAATTTTGCTAGGTTCTGTAAAAGAATGTTACTGATCTTTTAGGAAACATACTGAAGTATTTGGGGGTAAAAGGGCATCGTGACTTCTACATACTTTAAGAATGTAAGAAAAAAATTTGTTTTATATGTGCATATATATAAATAAATGCACACATCTGCATAGATCTGTAAGAGAGAGAGTTTTGGGATGGGGAAGGCTAAAACATGTGGTAAATGCCTGGCTGAGGAGTATATGGAAATTCTTATTACTCTTCTTTTAATGCTTCTTAAAGTCTGAAATTATTTCAAAATAAAAAGTTACTAAAGTGACGGGTTTCGCTGGGTGGAACTAGATGTTGTTGAGCAGGGAAACATTCATGGCAGAAGACTCTTAGTAAGGAGTGTGGGCCAAGACCCAACGAGGGAAATATAAGCTTTGACGAGTGGTAATAGTCCATTAATCTAGATACAGAAACATGGAATTAAAAATGGGAAAACTCAGTTGAGGGGGGTAAATCTCAAAAGTGAGAGCAGTTTGCTAAAAGTATACATATCAATGACAGTTATATTAAATTTTTAAAATGCTATAATTAATGGGCAGGCATATATTATTATTAAGTATAAATCATGATTCTGGAAGAATACGCCCAAGTCTGTAATGCTGATTGCCTGTGGGGAGGGGAAGGATTAGGATTAGGGAGGAGAGTGAGGAGGTAAGAAACTTCATTTATATTGTAACCTTGTTCCCTTAGGAAATTTAAAGGTCTGGGTTAAGTATACCAAATTGTTGAATGTATGGATCCAGGAACACAGGTGTATATTTTTTTTTTGTATATTTTAAATATTTCATAATTAAAAAAAAGAATGGGTATGGTAGGTGTAGTTGGAAAGACAGGAGGGTTTGGATCACAGAAAGTCCCCAGATATGATAAAAAATGTAGATTTTATCAATCACAACAGGAACTTTTCCTGGAAAACTGAGGTATATTGCATATTTGAATCAACTCCTTGAGCTATGAGCTTAAAAGAATTCTATTAGTTAAATCTGTTGAAAGGTAATTTTCAGAAAAAGGTAGAATCATGATTCCATATTGATATAAAACTCTAACACATGTTGAAGGTTTTATTTAACTCATGAGGGATCTAGGCAGATGTTTTAACTGGTTCCAAAGAGAATCCAAAGGACAGACACATAGATTAGAAATACTGAAATGAATACATAAATGAGGCAGAATTGGTTTTGCCTCCCTCAAGGGTGTGTGTGTCGGGGGAAGACAACTGGCTCTCTGTCAGGCAGGATAGAATTTTTATGTCCATAGAAAAACTTTTCATTGTTATCACTTAACCTACAGTTTGCCAAGTTATAAAACAGCTCATAGACCTAGCTAGAATCAGATAATCCAGAGGGTATGCTGTAGGTAGATAATACATAGTCTTCCACTGAAGCACACATTTTTCTCCACAATACATAAACTTTTTATAATTTAAATTTGTTTTAGGATACTTATAGCAGGATTTCCTGAAGTTGAATAATTTGAGGATTTGAGGTAATTTGTCACTTCTCAAAATATAATACATAAATATAAAGCAATGTGAAATTTTATGGGTTAGGAAAATTAAATTGTTTTGTCTTTGAAGAATGAATCCTTTCATGTTGTAAATTTTGTATAACTACACCATTCATCGAAAATATTGCTAATGCAGATTTTAGATAAGTGTTTTTATGCATAGAACCCTAGCTGAGCCACATCAGTAACTTCAGTGGATCATAAGGAAATTATTGGCTTAACATAGATCATAATTCCTTCTCATGGGGAGAGGCAAATGGTAGATAAAGGACTCAGGCTGTTACTCATTTTGAAAGCCTCTCAGAATGGCTCCTGTTTGATTTCCTGTGTCTAAGCTGACAATGTCACACGGAAGATGGACACGGTGGCAGATACTAAAGATGCTGCCAACCTGTCTAGAGATCACAGACATCTGTAGCAGAAAGGAAGGGGGGGTCCAGTCCAGTCTGCTGTGATCTCTCCCTCCTTTACTCACTAGCTTACTGCTTAAAGCTGGTTTCTAGTTTGGGGGATAGGTCACCTTTTGTTTTTGTTTTTTTTTTTAAAGATTTTTTTTTTTATTTATTTATCTCAGAGAGAATGGGAGACAGAGAGCATGAGAGGGGGAGGATCAGAGGGAGAAGCAGACTCCCCGCTGAGCAGGGAGCCTGATGTGGGACTTGATCCCGGGACTCCAGGATCATGACCTGAGCCGAAGGCAGTTGCTTAACCAACTGAGCCACCCAGGCGCCCCAGGTCACCTTTTCTTTTAAACTGACGTTTTTTGGTCTGTTTCCCAGACTTTTTTTTTTTTTTTAAGATTTTTTAATTTACTTGGCAGAGAGAACACACAAGCAGGGGGAACAGCAGAGACAGAGAGAAGCAGGCTTTCACTGAGCAGGGAGCCTGATGCGGGGCTCCATCCCAGGACCCTGAGATCATGACCTGAGCCTAAGG